TGATTTAAGTTTAAAATTACTTAAAATATAAAAAAATATAATATAAATGCATTTTATTTTTACAATAATGCCAAACCTTTAAAATGACTAGATTAACTTAAATAAATATCCATTGTTAGTATAAAATTGACGCCTTAGAAAAGCATGCGCCTCTGAAGCGTATGGTTATCTTCTACGTACGTTGTCATATGGTTATCTTTCTAGGGTTAAAACCTTCGTTACTCGCTCCGTGTCCTAAGCGTTACTTTGATATTTTCTACGGAAACACCTAATTACTTTCGTTCAGTCAAGATCTTGTGTGAACCCTAAGTAATCTAATCCTAAGTTTCGTGATCATTCGAACTTAACCTTCTTCATACGAATCGGTGAATTTGCCCGTACGATAGAACAGTACGTAGGAGCATACGTTATTTCTTCAGGACCTAATATGGTCCGGTGACGAACGCGTTAACTAGTATTAGATTGGGGAATAAGTTCGTAGCGTTTCTATATTTTCAAAGAGTATAATATTATAGAATATATAATACTAATATATATTAGTAGAATATTATACACAAAGTGTATAATATTCATTCGATAGAGCTCTTTCTGCTCTACAAAACTGTGTTAATCGTCTTTTCGAGTAATTTAATTTTTTATTACTTTCGAGGCTTAGAAATGGTATATCCAGGAGGTAAAAAGCAACATTTTCGACACCTTCTCTTCTTCGCTTTTCATCGAGGCCAAAAAGCTGCCGAAGCAGCCCGGGACATTTGCATCGTATACGGAGAAGGTGTCATAGGCGAGTCTATACAGCACGGAAATGGTTCGCGATGTTCAAAAATGACGATTTTGACGTCGGCGACACGCTCCGCGGCGGAAGACCTTCTGAATTCGACGAAGAGCGTCTCGAAGCACTTTCGAAAGAGGACGGTCGCCAAACGAGTCGTGACTTGGCCGAAAAAAATGAATCGCGATCATAAAACGATTCTCAATCATCTTCATTCGATGGGATTTGCCGAAAAATT